GCTGTTGCGATTTTACCTCGTTCTTAGTGCTACCCTTCGTTGGTGTGCTCACCAAGCGATGTTCAGACGGCGAAATAAACTGTTTATGGGAGGCTGTGAACACCTCACAGCTTCCCAGATTTCATAGCAACCATCCTGTTGACCTCAAAAGAAGCTATGTTAGAACACTGCTCATAAGAACCTAAACTCAGTGTAGCAACCCAGAATAAAAGGCACATAAAGCTATACATATGTCTTCGCGACCGATTTGTCTGAAATGGCTATCCCAAATCGTTCATAAGCCGATACCCACATATTTCGTCCCTGGAGAACCTAACCGGAGCCAGCCGCTGGGTTATGGCATGCATTTCCATATACCACACACGTGGTAGAGGCGAATTACTCATTTCTGCGGGCTGTGTCGGAAATGCACACCAGCCTAAAACTATTGTGCACAGCCGGCCCATGAAAATCAAGGACTACTCAAATCCAAGTGAGAAGTCGGATATATTGTATGACACCCCGTGACTAGACCGTCCTCATACCTACACAGGACAGACTGGGCTCGTGCTTCGATCGCACAGTTAAGAAAATAAGCTGACTGTGAGAAGGAGGGACAATTTATCGAAAGTGTCTGCCTCCAACTAATAAATGGCTCACGAGTTTAAATTTGCAGCTGAGAAGATAATCATCTACGCCAGCAACACAAGAAGCCGCGAATTTATTGAAGCCTGTGACACGGACGAGAATGTAGTCAATTCACATATCGATCTGGCGCTGACATATAGAGCCCTGAGCCGTAACCTCCAAAGTGGCGTTATCGGTTTTAATTAGCTGTTACCCCTATACTTGTTGGTTGTTTTTTCGCCGCTTTTATCTCCAACGATTTACTCTAGTAAGAGTTCCAAGGCTACAATGAATAAAAAAACAATGTCGACGAGCCTACAGCCTTCTCTTCCTATTTTTTTTCGTTTTCTTTTATTTCATGCACGCAACTGGAATACGAACAGTCTTCTATTATGTATATATCTTGAGTTTTGCCTTCGTTTAGTTATTACCTGTGGCTCTTAAACTTCCCTCATTGCTTCTATTTTTCAGAGACAGCTATCAAGTTGCCTCATGCTTACCATCAATTTCTGCCCGAAAGCATGATAAACGTGGTCAGCCCAACTGCGGATGTGACGTCTACACAAGTACCTCTGATGCAACTGCTGCAGACGAACAAACTTCCAATTCTTAAAATGGCAAGTTTGGAACTGGCCGCTTAAAACACAGAGAGGTGGCTAGTTTTTCCTTTAAAATATTGCCGAGGTTTACCTTGGTATAACTGCAGTACACTAAAACGCTCATGCCTAATTTTTTTCAGATGTCTCCGGAGAAGTTGACAGCTAAAAAAATTGAAGTGCTCCAGAAGTATCGGGCTCATGTGCTTACTGGCGAAAAAGCTCTGAAGGCAAAAATAAAGGTGCGTCTAAAATAAGGCACCTATATGATGTACAACATAAAAACCATATGGTACAGTAGATTCACTATCTCATGAAATGTCACCCGGAATTCTGAAATGCGCTTTCAGTCCAAACAGTATAATTACGTATGGCTGAAAGAATGACGATCATACAGTCTAATCTCAATATATTTTGATCACATAAGGATGCTAGCAATTTAATGAGCTTCTTTTTGACAGCTAATAAAAAGTATTTACCGTAAAAAGTGGCTACTTAAATAGTATACATCTTTATCATTGATTTTGAGAGCCTTTATAAATTCACATATATTATATGGAAAACATTAGCGAAAAGTTATTTCTTTTACTCGTTCGATAGTCAATTACACCTTCTTCAAATTTTACACATATAAAAAGGGTATCTTTCGGTTTTAAAAAAGTTTCTAATTATGAGATTTTTTACGATTGTGAGGTATTCACACATTATACATCACATCTGTCAATTTATTAATGCTGCCTATAATGTATACCAGATGTTCCACATCTGTTGCAATATTATATGAGAACTATGTGACTTCTTTCTCAAATCGTAGGCGGTAACGTACTTTTCCTTAAACAGGATCTGCATAGCAGGCAGTTTGTGAACTTTGAATTCAGGTGCAGCAGTCAATAAGTTAAAAATTTATTCGGCAATTCAGAAACGTTTTTAAAACCAAAAGATACCCTTCTTTAAGTATAACATTTTAAGAAAGTGTAATTTGCTACCATAAGAGTACAAGAAATAGTTTTTTGTTTATGTTTTCCACAAAATATATTTGAATTTATAACGGCAGTCAAAATCAATGATGAAAATGCATGCTTATTAAGTAGCCACTTTTTACAGTATATACTTTTTATTGGCTGTCAAAAAGAAGCTCATTATAAAGCTGGTATCCTGACGTGATCAAACTTGTCATTTTGACCCCTTAGTTTCGCATAGATCACCAACTCCGTAATTTTTAATTTTCTGATTAATTTAACCTCTTTTTTAATTTCTTTGCCGAGCAAAGACTCCCATTCGTAGCTGTAGCTTCATTAAGACAATCAAAAGACTATGCGAAAAATTTTGACAATTCCTTTCGATTGCATTAGATATTGGATATGGATTTAATATAGATATTACTCGTCATGGAACCCGTGGCTACCGCAAACATTCACAGCAGCATGCTGGCCCTATATTTCACATACTTTCTCCTATGGGCGACAGTTTTTCTCCTAAAAACCACAAATGACATTCCATTTTTGAATTCTGAGACATGTCTTCGGAGTTTTTTCAATGTCTGCTCTTTTTGTTCAGTTATACCTGCTGGCTCGTGCTAACTGACATCACCACATGTGATTGTATTACTTGAAACAAGCGAGTAGTCGCCTACAATTATGTTAACAACTTCTTTAAAATGTCCGGCTGTGCCGACGCATTTCTTAATTTCTGTGTACCAGTAGGGATTTCAAAGGCGTTTGCCTTTATTTCCCTTGATAAACTTGAATATACATGACTAGAGGTAAATGCAACCCTGTCACTTTTAAGTCCACCTTCCTCTCAGTTTATACGTAACTGTATGCAGCAGAAAGTTACTGGTGAACCCTTAGCTAATTTGCTTTGAGCAGACCCTATTCGTATTATTGGAATGCATGAAAAAGAACCA